AGCACGGATTATAATACTATTCCTACTGGCTTTACTTTAACCACCTATTGTTGACTGCTGTTTTCAAAAATATCTGGCAAAAAAAAAAAGTGTAGAAATAACCTGTTAGCTCATCTTTCTCCCAATCATTCCCCAAATATTTGGGAAAAGCAGGTATTTGGTGTTGGCATTTTAAAACTTGATTCATATTCAGGTTGGTTATTCTTTCTGGAAGCAATGAAAAAGCCTGGCCACTGGGTACAGCTTGGCTTGTGGTTTCTTGGTTACATCAGAAATGCTTACTACAACTGGACAATGGAAAAAATCCAAAGATCTACTGAAAGATGTCTAAAAGGACAGATGTGTAAGATACAAAAGAATGAATCATGATGAAGAGATCAGACCAAGTTCTATTAACTGTATCCTCAAGCACTGAAAGAAGATCAAGAAAAATCAGAGGAAGTATCAATGACAAGGAAGTGATAAACAAGATGTTGAATGAAACAACGTACATATTAGGCATTAACATGACATGAACACATTAAAAGTTATGCTAGGTAGGCAAACAGCATTGACAATATCCCCTCACATTTCAAGGTAAAGGAAGTGGATAGAAAGAAACTTGAAGCACTTGTTAATGAATCCTACGGAGGATGGGTTACCAAACTAAACAGACCAACAAGGCAATTACAAAACTATGAATCCAGAGTTAATAGGTATTAATATAGCTAGGTGTATGTAGGTAGAATTAAAGTTATTGTTATCTCTGTTTTACACAGTCATTTCTTTTAAAGCAGCCATATATACCTGTCCAAAAATGTACACCTAAAATTACTATAGCAAAGACATTAGAGAAAGGACATGAAAAATGATCCCAGAGGGCCTCTTGTTAATCCATTTGATGGAACAAGGTACCTATAAAACTCGCAAGCTACCCATCTGTGCACAGTACATGTCAGAAGTGGAGCATGGCGGTGAAAGCACATGGATTATGTGAATCCTGGAGCTGACCCACTTCTACAACCAATTAGTTAAAGCTGCATGAGGGTTTTCATACTAACCCTGTCTCAGGAAGTTATAAACTACTGGAAAAATTTCACATTTTAGGCTCCATGGTTTCTGCCCTAATGCAAGACTTTAAAGCATAAGCAGGTCCTTCTGCTCTTTTTGGAGTAAAGAGAATAAGAAATTCTTATCACTTAAAAAAAAAAAAAAAAATCAAGTTCTAAAGAGTGCCCGACTAGTGGTTGAAGTATGGGATAGAAACAGTGCATGTGTATGGTACACTGCATGTGTATAGTTTATGTGAACAAGCATTTAATTATGCATCTGAAGTCAGTTAAGCAGGATGGCCCACGCTTACGTGGCTAAAACTTAAGGGTGAGTAACAATAAAAATACATTGCAAGGATGGTCTTGGCCCCTGCAGTGGAAATTGGAAGAGCTAATGTATTCTTGTCAAGTGGCCTAGGAGGCAGCCCTAGTCAGAAGTGACGGCAGCAAAGGGGTCTCCCCTACAGTCATCCTAAGCACTTGTGGAAGGGAAGTTCCAACCAACTTATTCTCTACAATGTGTGACAAAAGACAGTCTGTAAGGTGCACCTTACAGACTAACTGAATCAGAGATGCATACGTTTTTATGAGCAACCGCTCATTTTGTCAGATGCTATGAAAGGATGCGAATGTTCTTTTATAGCATCTGACAGCTTTCCTAAGCAACACCTCACTTTGTCAGATGTTATAAAGGGACATGCAGAGAGCTTATGCATCCATTCAGGAAGGCAAAGCGCACCCTTACCCTGCTTTCTGCCTGACTTCAGACTGACATGGCTAGCAACCTCTCTCTACAACGTGTGCGACTCCAGTAGGAAGTTTCTGAAAGGCCCACAGGGATTCAGAGTCCTTCACAGTTGCATTCTTTTCACTTTTTATCTCCTCTTCCTTCACTTGAAAAGTTGATTACAACTAAAAACGCATTATGGTTGCATCCTTCCAAAAAACAGAAGAAAATGCATGTTAACCAGAAATTCTGCCCTCTTCTGTGTAAGCACTGCATTACAATCATCTTTCTATGTCATTTACCAATACTGTACAACATATTTTTCCTGCTACTTAAATGCAAATGCTGCAACCTGCAACTGTATATTACTAAGTATGTCATAATCTGTGTGCAGCTTTACAAATTAATCCATGTTACCATATAACATTCGAAGCATCATCATTCAGCCATCTCTGATTCAAGGTTTGATGACACAATCAAAAGGATTTCTCTATGGAAATCTCTTTACTAATCCTGTTTCATGACTGACCCATCTACTCTTCTATGTTCTTTATCCACACTCTTAAGTGCTCCAGTCCTTCCTCATCCATGCATTATTGTATTCCACAAGCAGTCCCTTCCTTCTCTAATCACCAAAAATGGCCAACATTTTTTAATTTAATTTAAGGTCCCTTGTCACTGCAGTCTTATCTAGCACCCAGTCACAGATTTTTTTTTCTGTCCAGGGAAGTCTCACTGTAATTCAAGAAGGCTGCACTGAAGCATACATGAATATAACAGCAAGTCTGGCATACACAGGTCCGCTGAGTTTGTGCTATAGCAACTACTTCATACTTTGAGCTGTGCTTAAGGCTATACAGACTGTTGAAAAATTATAGTACAAGTGTTGACACCACAGGGGGAAAAAAAAGCCCAAGTCAAATGCATATTAGTCTGTACAATGAAGACCACAACATAAACTTTAAACAGTGCTATATATTACTATAGTAACAAATTTAACACTATCGTAACACATACTGAGACACAGGATAGCCATTATGTCTGTTACTTCCTCATTTACACCTGGCACTACTGAAGTTCTCAATGCAATTTGTTCTTTAGATTTAAAGCAATGCAAATTTTGCAATGGATATGAAAAAAGACAGCTGACACTATTTAGGGGCAAGCATAACAATCCTGACACTCACAGAAGAAATAGTTTGATTCCAGGTCAGGCAAATCTGTCTATTAGAATTAGAAGATGAGAACCAGCATCATCCCATGCTAGTCCATCCAGGTAAAACCTTCAACTCTCAAGTCAAAGACACCCATTTTCTTCATTCTCCATCACTTCAAATTCCAAACAAAAAAGGCCAATGAGTATCCATCTCTGCAAGGTGAGGGGCCATGGACTGCACCTGTGCACTCCTCAGCCTGTAAGTGCTGTGGTTGACTAGATGTCCCTCGTGCTTCACCACTCTACCAAAAACAGACACCGGATACTTTACTTTAAAGAGCTCTCCTAGAGATAAAATGAAGCCTTGTTCTGTGGCTGCAGAGGCACGGGCAACATGCTCTTTTCAACCTTAAGTATTTCAAGCTTGTCAACGTTATGCATGTTCATCACTCCGTGCAAAGACAACGGACTGCGGAGGTATTCCAACATCTACTCCAAAAGATACCACTTCTCCGATCCACTGTGCAGGACCAGTGGATCAAAGCAGCACCTTCTGAAGTAACAGTTGCAGCAAACAGCTTGTCTTTCTTTCCTCAATCTGCTACTGAGTGCAAACCGCAAATGTGAATGATCTGGATTCTACGCATCCGAATTAGGATATAAAACCAGATTCTAACCAGTCACACCAACTGACTGAAAAACCTGAACTGGTGAAGACATTTACATAAGGTGAAAAGCAAATATGAGAACCCCTAAGGTATATTGCCAAGTTGCATTAAATAAACTTGGCGATATACCTTAGGGGTAATAAACTTTTAATAAATTAAAATAATAGCAGAATAAAGCAACCCTTTTAGGCATTATTATAGGTTTGTTAATACCAAATGAATGGTAATAACTTACTTTTTTATACTCCTAGAAACACAGTGACTCATAAGACAGAACCTGGTAAAACTGATTTTCTCATATTTGGAAGTAATAAAAGCATAAAGTTCATCCATTCCTTTTTCTTCTGCAAGCCAAGCCTGTTGTAAAAAAATCAAACTCTTCAAACACTGCATCACCAACAGGGAAAAAGACGCTCAGGTGAAAAGCAGAAAGCAAAAGAAAAAAAAAACCATACATCATGTAAGTTTTACAATTTGTTTTTAAGGACTTTTTAGGAGGCATCAGGGCACTCTAGAAAAAGTAGAACTATTACTAAATTCAGGCATTAAACTAGCTACATGTTTTATTATCAATTAATCTAAAAGCATTCAGCATCTTATTTAAAACTGCACTATAGTCCATTGGCTTCAGTCAGCAGATATCTACAAATGTTTTATCTTTTTTGTTTCGAGGTAAATTTGTAAAACAGTAGAGATAAAAACCTTAGCCCATGTATAATACTTGTGCAAGAAAAATGAGTACGAGACGACACAGTAGTTTCAAACTTTGTCAAATAACTGTACTATTATAAAGTTAAGAGCATACCACCGTGAAAAGACGATAGAAATTAAAGTCCCTCTTTACAACAAGCTTTTCTTTCTTTTTTCCCCAGAAGAGATTAGGAAAACAATTAGATGAACATTAAGACTGATTTGATGCCTCTTGTTCAGACTTCCTTAATTAAAGATTCTCTCTCTCAATCTAAGATTACATTTTCATGTTTAGTATCAACCAAAACATAGTCGGACGTGAAATCCAAGTATTTTTACGCTGCTCTGAGAAACAAAAAACCCCGGTAAACCGAGAGATGAACTTGGCAGAAGAACAATGCCACATCGATCTGAGCGGCACAGCCCGAGAGGCCAGAGGAGCAACGGAGTTTGAGAAGTCAGATAACAACATGCATGTTGATACGGCAGCTGCAACATCTCACGGACTGGACTGCAGCGAGGACACATGCTGATGAAGATGTGGCAACTGCATGTGCGCCTTAGCCTCTTGACACTCGTGTCCAGCAGCAGGGTAGCACTGCCCAGTACGCCGCTAGCCAGCGAGCGAGCTCAGAGCGATCCCAGCTCCTGTTCTTTCTTTTTTTTTTTTTTTTTTTT